TAGTGGCAAGTTTCATGTTAATTTCTGTAATGCTAGTAGTGGAATTTTAGTATTCCTCTTTCTGTGCTCTAGATCTAAGGTATTTATCCTAGTTCACTTCTTCCAGCTTAGATTATATTTGAAAAAAAAATCTTGGGGAAGAGTAGCTCACTTTTATCTGTTATCTGGTGAAATTTCCGCACAGGTTGCTGTAGACGGCATTTGGAAAGTTTGTCCTAAAGCTGGTGGACCTATCCAGTTTCCTGCCTTTAATGGTAATACTAATTGTGCTACTTTTGGTTAATCACTGAAGTGTCTCTTTGTTTATTTATGCAACTTTAACCCTCCTTTTCGTTTACTTAATTTTTTTTTTCCAATTGTAGGTGAGCTCATATGCCCAGCTTACCATGAACTCTGTGATGTGGATCCAGTTTCTTTGTCTAGTCATTGTCCCAATTCATGCAATTTCAATGGAGATTGCTTAGGTGGAAAATGTCAATGCTTTATTGGGTTTGGTGGTCATGATTGTAGCAAACGTAAGCTGCCATACTTTTTTTCTGTGCTTTTGTAAACTTTTGGAAAGTCTGTTTAATTGGTGTAATAACTTCTGCTTTCTATTTACAGGCTCCTGTCCTGGGAATTGTAGTGGACATGGCAAGTGTCTTGGGAGTGGTGTTTGTGAATGTCAAAATGGGTATACGGGCATCGACTGTTCCACAGGTAATGTAATATTGTTGAAGCCAAATACATTGTCAGTAGCATATGTTAGCTGTAAAAACAGTCAACTTAGTATGTCGAACCAGCTCATAATTCTTGGAATAGCAACAAGCAACAATAACAATAACCCAGTGTAATCCTACAAGTGGGGTATGGGGAGGGTAGTGTGTACGCAAACGTTGCCCCTACCTTGAGAAGGTAGAGAGCCTGCTTCCGGTAGACCCTCAGCTTAGGAAAGATAAAAAGGAAGGAAATTCTTGGAATAGCATGTCACTTTTCTTTTTTTACTAAAACAAATTATTTTTGAAATGGAGCTTGGAAGTAATGGAATTGAAGAAACCATTAGGTAGAGAAATATCTTGTAACGTCAAATTTGACTACTCCTATAAGACAGCATTCTGACTACATTTCCTTTACGTTATACCTTATATTTATGCATGTCTCACTTTGTCCTTTAAATGATACATCACTCAAAGGATGCATGAAGGTTGATTTGTTTACTTTAGCTTATATTTTCTATGGCGATACGCAGCTGTTTGTGACGAGCAGTGCAGCCTTCACGGTGGGGTCTGTGACAATGGAGTGTGTGAGTTCCGCTGTTCTGACTATGCTGGTTACACGTGCCAGAATAGCTCCATGCTTCTTCCCAGTCTCTCCGTTTGCAAAGACGTGCTTCAAAATGATGTATCGGGACAACATTGTGCACCTAGCGAGTTAAGTATCTTGCAGCAGCTGGAAGAAGTAGTGGTGATGCCCAACTACAACCGACTATTCCCAGCTGGTCCTCGAAAGATTTTGAACATTTTTAGGGGTAGAGATTGTGATGGAGCGGCTAAACGACTAGCCTGCTGGGTAAGTTTCTTTATCCGCTATGTCCTCAACATTTGAGGCAGCAAAAATTCTCCGCCTTTTCTTGTTATTGAGCTCAAACAAGCTTATTATGCATTTGTGTGTATAGTTTATTCATTATTCTTGTTAAACTGGTTAAAAACAGATCTCAATCCAAAAATGTGACAATGATGGTGACAACCGGCTACGAGTGTGTCATTCAGCTTGCCAATCATATAATGTGGCATGTGGAGCGTCTCTTGATTGCTCGGACCAGACACTTTTTAGCAGTGAACGCGAGGGTAAAGGTCTTTGCACAGGTTGGGGCGAATTGGACGCTTGGTTTTAGAGGGTACTATTCAGGCAAAGATTGGTTTTAGAAAATGAATTTGGTGTAAATTGTAGGGTAGTTAGTTTTTTTTTTCTTTTTCTTTTTAATTGGCTTGTAATGTGTTGTAAGCTTTTTTCTTGGGTAGGAAAATGTGTGCGCGAAGCGCTCATAAGTTAGTGTTTTTATTTTATTTTTGCTTTTTAGCTCCCAGCCCAAATATCATTTGGTAAAAGATTTGGGTGGGAAAATTAATTTGAGATTTTGGCTTGGAAGTCTCAGAATGTAGAGAGAAAGTGTACAAGGAAAAGGATAATAGGAAAAAAAAAAGGAGCAAAAATGAATTGGCCCAAGGCCTTTGCATCAATTAATTGTGTATTCATATTGGTTTGTGCCTTCCCTAATTCCCTTACTGTTCCTAGATTTTATGCTTGCTCTTTCAACTGTGGAGCATTTTACATTCTTCAGATTTAACAATTTTTTTTTTGTGGTGTCCGGATAGGTTTATAATTTTCTCTCTTCTATTTAAGTTCGTAGCCAGGTTGATGCTTGACTGAGTCTAATACTGGATTTCTAGCCTCAAAGTTTGAGACGAATTCTTGGCCTCAAAGTCGTCACCTTAGTTACTGAACTTGAAATCCTTTTCTTACCTCATTTTGTCGATTGGCATTTCGATCCTGTTCATTCATTGGTAGTTGCCACTTCTAGTCCACTCATTCTTGAGACTTGCAATACCTAGATTTTCAGGAAATATATATTGACAGTGTAACATAACCTGTTACTCTTTTTTTGGCCTTTTTTTTGTGGTTCAAAATAAGTGATTTTTTTCCAGATTTCAAGAATGAATGAATTATTTTTTCCCTACATTGCCCTTGGAGTAAATAGTGTTGGAATATGTGTTAAGAGTATTTATGTGAAGAGATAGTAAATGTTAATATGATTAATTTCATTGCTAATTAATGTTAAAAGGTGGATTTCTTAATATGTGTGAAAACAACTAAAAAATCACTTATTTTGGACCGGAGGGAGTATAATAGGTTATGTAGCATTTATTATAAGTTATCAATTACTCCCTCCAGTCCAAAATAAGTGATTTTTTGGATGTTTTCACACAGATTAAGAAATCCACCTTTTAGCATTAATTAGCAATAGAATTGACCATATTAACCTTTACTATCTCACATAAACACTTCTAACACATATTTCAACACTATTTACTCCAAGGACAATGTAGGAAAAAAATAATTAATTCATTCTTGAAATCTGAAAAAATCACTTATTTTGGACCACAAGAAAAAAGCCAAAAATTCGCTTATTTTGGACCGGATGGAGTAATGTTTATTAAATTGGATTACCTGCATTACCTTTTAAGTTTCTGTGTTTTTTTTCTTTTTCCTGTTCTGGTGTTAAACTGTTTACTTGAAAACTTAAGGCAAACTTTTTTATTCCTAGAAATTGGAGCTTTTATTACGTGTTCTTTTGCTTTGTTTTCTTATTACCTTGTTGTTTCCTTTGCTTCGGTTTTTACTATCTTGCTAGTGTTGTTGCTTCTTGCTATTGCTTCTTTTTCATCTTTACATGAGCCGAGGATCCATTGAAAATAGTCAGTCTACCTTCTCAAAGTAGGGATAAGACTATATATACACTACTGATCCAACTTGTGAAATTACACTAAATTTTTTTTCGTTGTTGTAAAAGTTAGAGCTTTTGTTATTTAATATTCTGTTTTCCAACTGTTGTACAAACTTCCCCACTGACCCCAGTAAATAGCTTGTTCTCTCGTAAGCTTCATTTTAAACGGAATCTAGAAATTAGAAATCTCAAGCAACTAATAGGCTTGGTTTTTATTAGAGTCGCAAACGGTTGGGTCGGGTCGGATATGGACGGGTCTAAAATGAGTAATGTAAAACGGATAAATTATTTGCCCCCACCCATATTTAATACGGATAAAAAAAGGTTAACTGGTGAATGAATACGATCACTTTTGAAGAACTCCTAGTCTCACAAACTTGATGTAACCCTAAGGCTTCGCAAATGTAAAAATAAATTCATTGATTATCCATTTTTAAGTGAATAATATGATTCTTATCCATATTGACCAATTTTTAAAAAGTTCATTATCCAACCAATTTTTAACGATTAATATGGGTAAATAATTATTTTCTTTTAACTATTTTGCAACCACTGGACTTTTTATATTCGCTGGAGCTAGCAGGTAACCAATGACGAAGCTCTACAATGAATTAAGCATTTAATTATTTATTAATCCATGTTAACATTTTCAGAAGAGTACTCGAGGGGTTTGGATATTAAATTAACAGAAAAGTTTAGTGTCCTCGATTGATCTACACTATTTTTTAAAAATGTTGCTTCAGTTGCAATCCCCTGAAAATGGACAAATCTGACTGACTTCTGTCTTTTTTTGTATTTGTTCAACTAAATCTATCATTCAATCAACCAATGATTTGACCCTCTCCGTCCCCAAATAGACCATTTTGAACTCCAATGTATAGATATACCTAATTTTCACAAGCTTCACACCGACCCAGGAAAGAATCTTTTCACCTCAAAATTATGGAGTAATAAAATGGATTACTATATTATTTTCACTTAGTTTTAGATTAGGGTTACACCTTGAGGGATATGGTGAAATGAATGAGCTCTCTTCGTTTAAATTTGAGTCTTGGAGAAATTCTTGTTACATAGAAATTAGAATGATCAAAATTGAGATGTCCCCAGCCTGGGGAGGAGCTAGGAGGGCGGAAGAGATTTAGTTGAACTAACTTCGTCGAAAATCACACTGTATATATAAGATTAATTTTTTTGTCATATATATATAAAGTGTTGAATCCCTTTAACTTCTTTCCATCCTTGTCCCGACAATTCCATCATATATATATAAAGTGTTGAATCCCCTTAACTTCTTTCCATCCTTGTCCCGACAATTCCACGCACGTAAAAGTAAATGAAACTTTTAATGCAGTATAATTGGAGCAGCCAACTTACATAAGTAATACTCTAACATTTCTCTATCAAAAAATTTTATAACATGATCAAGTTTACGGAAAATAATACTCCAGTACTCTGTAACAACCAAATAAATGATCAACCATAAAATTTTATTAACTGCTTGGACAAAATGCGATTAAGTAATAGGAAGTAAATGGTATATTATTCTTGTAATTAAGGGCCAAAACGTTACTAAATCAAAGACTAGTATCCTTATAACAATAAATTCTATCCATAGTGTTTATAACCAGTGGGAAAGTTAGGAATTTTCTAAAGCGTGTTCAAATTTAAAAGCAATGAAAAAATTTTCTGATAAAGAGTGTTCAGTATGTGTTATATACCTTTAAAACGTAATATTTTACTTATACACAGTGCAATTGTTTGACAAAAAATAGTCAGTTGACCACCCTTATGACCATATGGCTTCGCCACTTCTTATAACTCAATAGAGATTACAAAAAACAGTACTAATAATAATAATAATAATAATAATAATAATAATAATAATAATAATAATAATAATAATAATAATAATAAATTGTTACTCATAAAAAAAAACTTATGAATTGGTTGGACAAAATGTGATTAAATAATCCGAACCAGAGCAAGTGCAGGTACTTGTAGCATCATCATATGCATAGCTATAAGCAGAAGGGCATGCATCCTTAAACAGCTTCGAATATTGCGTCGGCGAGCAAGTCGCCGGCGTCGCATGATCGCCAGTGCAGCAATACTCCGATGTGTTAAATTGTGCACACGCGCTCTTACACGCCACCACTGCGCCGTTATCCATCACCTGCAACTCCTTCGGACAATTCAAGTTTAAATCGTTGACGCAACCGGCGTATTGACAGTCACCGGAGCCTCCGGTAGGCCGTACGCCGATACCGACATTGTATCCATCGACGAGGCTAACATCGTAAAAGTCCTTCTGATCGTTGCCGTTAGCATTAGCAATGGTGAATTCAACTAGACTTACCGGCGGTTCGCCGCCACCGATGCACTTCAATGCGCCGCAATCGCCGGTTGTACATTTACCGTTGCCGGAATCGTCGAAGCTGCAACCGGTTCTGGCCCAGAACCGGCCGGACCAACCGCCTGGAGCGGAGAGTTGGATGGTTGCGCCGGGAGTTAATGCAAAACCAGCATCGCCGGAGATAGAAACTCCGTTGCCGGAAAGTGTACCGGGCCAAACTGTGTAACCGCAATTGTTTTGAAGCGTAAACTGCGTGGCTGAAACAGCAATTGCTTCTGCAGAAAAAAGGTAAAAAAAGAAGAAGAAGTTACATGCTCTGTTTTGGTAAAAATTATGAACGTATAAAGCATAATAAAAAATAGAACAAAATACATTCAGTTGACCCTGGTATTAACTACGACATCTCAATTTCAAATTAGTTAAAATACACTACCCATATGAATCTCTAAAAATAAAATCTGGGCAAATAAAGAGATGAAAACTTACTGAACATGAAGAGAGCAATTAGGAGCAAAAGAGGCTGTTTTTGCAAGGCGGCCATATTTGGAATTAATTAGCAGAAGAAACAAAATATTAAGGAGTATAATGGTAGTAATTGGGGGGAGAAAATCGGGGAAGTGGAGATTAAGCGACTAGATTTGTGGAAGTTAAATTTGGACTATCAAAGCATTGGACCCTTCTATTTATAACTCATTATTCCCATATCTCCCCCTCCCCCTCCCCCCATCACGTAGGAAAAATTAATTTGCATGGACAAATCAGTGTCTATAAAAGAAAAATCGACTTATTTTACCTTATTTTTATGATATTATTAGTTATATCATATATGCATAATTTTATTTAGAAAACGAAAACGGTATACTGTAATATGGAATTTTATACAAATTAAATCTATTTATACTTCAAATTAGACGGAGCCTTGTCATTAGGTCGAAAGAGCGAGACTAATATGTTTATAGTATTTAATTACCATTGATGGAATTTATTGGGTATCTGCATATTTACCATGACCTATGTTGTGTGCGGATTTGTGGGCGAAAACTTTGATTTCTTTGCGTGATATTTGAAATCCCATAGATTTTATTGCCATGCAAAGGTATCTTTGTGGTCAAGTTCCATTAACTAAATGTACACGCAAAAATTTCGCTTAATGGCAATTAATAACTTTGAGATTTCTTTCCAAATATTTGTGACACTCCCTTTGCCTTTGGTCCTTTTTCTCCACTTATTAGTAGAAAAATTCTCCAACAAGCACGCATTCAAAACCTTCTATTAATTACCAGCTCCACCTTAAATTTTCTAAATAAAAGCATGATGGATTTTGTAAATTCTACAATTTTTTTTAATTTTAGAAAAAACTTTAAATTCTAGCATGGAGTACTTGGTGTGAGAGAACACTACGTGCACAATATTACAAGAAAGAACTATATATTACGTCCGCTTTGTTAAGGTAAGTTACAAAATATGAAAGAAATTATATTTATAGAAAACCATATTTATTCGCAAACCTATTCTTGTTATAAGGGGAAAAAAGAATGGTTCTCTAACTTCCATCGAGTATTAATCATGTTTGAAAAACTTCTAGTACTATGACGTGTTTCATATTACCGAAGTTATTTTTCATAGAAGAAAAACGTATTCCATCCATTTCGTGGGAAGAAAAATATTTTCCATATATGGTGTTTGGTTGGTGTTGAAAATATTTTTCAAAAGAAGATATATAGTAAAAATTATTAATAATGTTAGAAAATCTTTACATATTTTGGTGAAAAACCTAAAGAATAATGTCAATATATTAACTGTAACAATTAGTTTAACTTAAAAGTCAAAGATTCTACAGAGAATGACACCAACAGTTTATTTTGTATAGAGAACATTTATATCCTAAAAAATGATTTTCATGATACCAAAGACAGCAAAAAAAAAAAAAAAAAAAAAAAAAAAAAAAAAAAAAAAAAACTTAGCGGCTCACAAATCCTAGTGTTATCATATGAATAGCCACGACACTCTAATTAGACATTAACGACGACAGCGACAAACACAAAAGTTAAACACTAAACNAAAAAAAAAAAAAAAAAAAAAAAAAAAAAACAATAAGAAGGAGCTGCTAAACAGGTCACGTGCTAGGCTCCATGAAGCACGTGATGACGACATATTTTTAAAGCCAAGGGATTCAGTCATCAGAGTATCAGAGACATAAAAAGTACGGCTCCAATATCACACGTCTCATTGGCAGCTACAACATGCACCTGTTTCCATGGCCAAATTGTTAGTCGTTTGGGAAAAAAATTGTTCCTATAGTAGAGCATAAATTCAATAGTACTCCTCTTATTTCGTTTATTTTTAGGTTATCTAATCATATCTTATATAAAATATTATTAAGATATTTCTGTCAAGGGTGTTCAAATTTTAAACAAATTACTAACTTTTGTTTGTCGATGAATGATGTACCAAATTTTTTTTAGAGCTTGATTTTTAAATTATAAAAATTTATTTAAGATCAACTTTTAGTTAAAAAAATTACTTCTAAGATTAGTTGCTTATTTCTACACAAATTTTAAGTTTTAAAAGTTACTTTATTAGAAAAATTTTCAGATTGCAAAAGCATCAAATAGACCATACATGATGGTCTCTGTTTAGTTTTGACAAATAAAATGGGCAGAATATTAAACCCGGGAACAATACATCACTTTGAATACCCTGAGCCAATAGATAGGGGCAAATCTAGCATAATAATTACGGGTTCCCGTGAACCCAGTAGTTTTGTCTAGATCCTGTATTTTGTATTAAAAAATCTATAAATTTAGAAAAATATTTAGTTTAGAACCCAATTCGTTAATCTAGTTATTATTATATATTAACTTGAGACTTTTTTAGGAACCCATAACTTAAAATTCTGGATCCGCCTAGATTATATTATTCAATTGTGTTAAGGGTGTTTAAAATATAATATATAACCATATAAAATAGTATTTAACTTATATATACAATATAATTTTTTGGCGAAGGGTGTACTAGGTGGCTACGCCATTAGTTACTGTAGATATCTTAATTTGATATAGTATAAAATTGGTACTATTATTGTCAACGGACACAACTTAAACTCAATTCAACACTATGATTAACTTTTGTACCTATTTAATTATTAGTATATAGCTCTCCACCAAGATTATTGTAATTCAAATTTCAATTTCATGAGTTTCGCATCTTCGCTACTCCCTATATATAATTATTAATCCTATAAAAAGATCGGATAAAATATTTTCCTTTTCTTTCTTTATCAGAAATCATGGATCCTTGGCTCGTGTAAGAAATTGTCAGTCGCGTTGTTAAAATAATGTTAGAAGGTACGTCGTTGTAATTATTTTGGATCATTGACGCCATTGAACTGTCTTCTTAGGATTAACACAACTTTTGAGATAATCAAGATTCAATTGGATGAAATTAGAGTACATAATCTTACAAATCAAAACAAACTAACTCATAACGTGCTGGTATAGTCATTATAATGACAGATACATAGATGAAACAATTTTATAGGGTTTAACAAATATTGCATATTGCCAAGCTAGGTCACCTGCCCTTAATCGAGTTAGGTGTTTATTTCACGGATATAATGACTAGATTTATAAACCATTTTCGAATATTAGTTCACCAAACCCAAAACAATTGAAAACAGTATATCAAAGATAAGAGGACAAAACAGAAAAAAAAAATATGAAAAAGGAAATACGAGAATATTCACCTAATGATTCATGAAGTTAGAGTCAGCGGTTTTTTTTTTCTTTGGAAAATTCTTAGGAAAACTCACAATCACCATCCTTCGGGTACACACCGGGTAATGTAATAGCTCGCAAACTAGGCAGGAGATATAAACAGCACCAGACAAGCCCGGTGCGACATTCTATAATTGAGGAGGCTGTGCTGGTGAGAGGAATCGATCTTACGTCTTCTATGTGAGAAACTACTCACCCAACCAACTTAGCCAACCCTTGCAGGCGAGTCAGCGTATTTAATTACCAGTAATTCTGCTAGGGCCAAAACGTGATAGAACTGATAAGTCATTTAAGGTCTGGTTTTGATAAGATTTTGACAATTAACATTGCGTAAACTATTTAATTACCGTCAATATATAACTTCGAGCTTCTTTCATCCAGGTACGTAATAGATTCTGTATTACCACAAAAATGCAAACATGAAGAATTGAGGTTTAATCCCTAGGTTACTGTATAACTTTTTTAGTGCAACCTTTTACCAATCACTTGCTTCGACTCGTCTCACTAACATTCCATGATTCATGTTTTTATATCCAAGGATTTCTTTCTTTCTTTATTTTTTTTCCTTTCGGAAAAGTCTAAGGTGATAAGTGTTATTTATTTGCAATTGTTACATGCAAACATGTTGCATGTCTACATATATGTGGTGTTTTGTTCTCGTTCAACGGTTCAAATATGCACTGATAATGCAAAGTTTTTTACATTATTAATATATTTTAGTCGATTAGAGCAAGATATTTATTGTGTTTTTTGTTACCAAATTAAGATTAATGTTGTAGGTAATCTAAACCTAATAGTATTGTATACCGTCAGTTTACAAAAGTTAAATTCAACATGTATAATATGTATTGCTTGATTTGTAATTGTTTGGATTCAAAGCCTAAAGAACACACAACATTTCCCTTAGGTGAAATTCTGAAAGGTCAAGAGTGTGGATATGAAAGGGATTAATGGAAGACAAAAAAAACCTAATACACGCAAAGGATGTTTGATGTTTCATTTTAACCTAACTCAATGACGAAAAACAAGACTTTAAAAATTATGTTTAAGGCGAGTTTGATGAGAGAACTAACTGCTTCTTTTTCTTATCCAGTTGTGTTTTCTTGTCTGGTTATATCAAGTTGGTTTAGCCATGTAAAATCCACCAACAAAACATTCTACTAAAGTTATTATTCCCTTCACTTTTTATTTTTGGTACTTACACAAGACTATTCAAAATAAATATGGAAGAAGGAAAAAGATAAGGAGTCATTTTGGTTGAACCAAAAAAGACAGAAAGAAGCTCTTCACATAAATATTTTCTTAACGATTTTCATTTATCGAAAGGTCTGAGGCACGCACTGCACAAAAAAATTCAATTTGGTGGCAGCAGGTTGCAGTTAGTGATGAGATATTGGGAACGTATTATAATATTTCCAAATTATTAAAATTTGTGGTTTGTTTTTTAATTTTATTTCTCGAGATTAATAACTTTAAATGTGACAAATTTTACACTATCAGTGATTCAGTGTACAAACACTAAATTCCATTTGGAATTACTCAACATGTATTAAAAGGATTTCAATTATATATAGCTGAATATAAAGAATTTATGCACTAGTAGTTTAACCTTAAAAAGGATCTACTTTTACCGGTTGTAGTTGTAGCAAGTTAGTGATCATTATACATAAATACATGTAGTTGGATAAGTAGTCTAATGGTAATTTTCACCGTCAATACATAAAACTTAAAGTCTGTACAAAAGTTAGTACGAATAATATGATATAAGATGAACAAACATTATATTATCCAACAATGAAAAGTAAAAGAAAAAGAATTAACTATATGCATCACTGATAACATATGTGTTGAAGTTTGGCAAAATGCCAAAGTCCCACATTGGTTGGGA